GTAAAGGATTATATTATTATATTATATTATATCATTCATTTTGTTGTCATAATTGCGACGAAAGATTTAATGGAAATAACGTCGACAATGTTCTTGATTTTGTAGTCATTAAGTGGCAAGCACTTCAAGAAAATTCCTAGTTCCAAGATAATGCATAGACAATAACAATTTATCCACATTTTTAATTGATTACAGTTATTTTTAGAATTTGTGCGATGGAGTTCTAAAGTGAATGAGCTGATCTAATCAACGGAATATATTTATAAACGTACGTGATAATTGCAATTGATAAAATCCTGATGGAAAGGATGTTGTCCAGCTTTGCTTTCGCCTTAGAAAACTTCTTTAAGAGATTTAAGCCTCATTAAGTTTAAGGAAAAACTTTGACCCATTAAAGAGTCTATTCAATATTAGCACAGTATTTTTCTGATCTTTCATTTACATTTTCAGCTAGAAACATCTGCACTATTCGGCAGTCGGTGTAGAGTTTTCTTTTTCTCAATTCTGTTAAAGACACCTTGTTTCTCCAATCGACTTTGAATGTAGTCATTATTTGCTGTAGTCTGAAATGAAACTTTTTTCACAAACACTTTGCAAGAGTGAAATTAGTGTGCCAATTTATACGGATTGAGTAAGAATCAATAGTTATAAAGCATTGCTCTATATTTTATAATTGCAGTGGTTTACAAAGTGAAAATTTTACATTTTTAAGCTAAATATTTCATCAAATCGATCGATTCAATCCTTTGTTAAGCTCAGTTTTCACTTAATAAGTGACTTCGGGAGTCGCTGGTGGTTCTGGTTGGGGTTCTGGTTGGGGTTCTGGTTGGGGTTCTGGTTGGGGTTCTGGCTGAGGCTCTGGCTGAGGCTCTGGCTGAGGCTCTGGCTCAGGCTCTGGCTGGGGTTCCGGCTCAGGATCGTCACGGAGTGGCTCAGGCTGAGGGTCTGGTTGGGGTTCTGGTTGGGGTTCTGGTTGAGGTTCTGGCTGGGGCTCTGGCTGAGGCTCTGGCTGGGGTTCCGGCTGGGGTTCGGGCTCAGGGTCGTCTCGAAGAATTTCATGGGCTAGTACATAAGCACGCTTCTGCCCAAGAACATTCTGACCTCTAATAGCCTTACCTTGAACGGAGGCCTACAAGATACATAACATTTGATTCGAATAATTCAGGTTAAGCAATATGCAGCTTGAAACGACACTGGATAGCAACAATTTAAAAAAAAGTTAAAAATTTCAGGTTTTTTAATATAAAAAAGTCTTAGAATACTTACAAGGGCTACTACCGCCAAGAGTAGAAAAACGCTCAACTTCATCTTGATGACACGAAACGAAGCAAGTGATACTGATGCACTTTACCGAAAGCTTATTTATATGAATCTATGATGATGATGCGTTGTTATCAAATTCCTCTAGCATTGCAGAAATAGCCCATCAGTACTTCAAACTGTTTTTGCTATGATTTGAATATCAGGTGCTTCTGATTGAAATTTCCTTACTATCTCCATATCGTCATCAAAAAGTATTTTCTTTGAAAACATATTGAGTACTTTGCAGGGAATATTGAAAAGCCTTTGAAATAGTCTCATCTTTGTATAGGCAAATTGTACTTTATCCACGAAATTTCGCTTTAAGACCATTTGACAGTATTTACAACGCAATTGCACCAATCAATTCAATTCGAGGAAGTTGGTACTTAAAATTTGGAAAATTTTATTTTGCAACTACGACACTCGCCAAAGTTATTATAGGAAAATTTTGATTTTTCAATGGTTTTTGAATGGAATTTTCATTTTCAGGACCGTAGGTATATTTCAGACAATGTGTTCACTGGAGCATTTTCATACAAATCTTGTTACATTCATATTTTCTGCTGTTTTGGACAAATTATGAAAGACCTATTATACCGCCTTACCTTGAGAAAAATCTCAAGTATTGTCTGCACGAATTTAAATATGCAATTTATTGCCAATAGCACCAATTTCATACTTGCAATTAAGTAACCCAATAATAATTTTTACTTTGTGCTTATCTTTTTAATTTTCTTTAAGTAGTCAGATCTAGTTGTTGCGACTGCAGCACCAAGTAAATGTAACTTAATTCAATTATCTTATCTAAAAGAGTCCGGATTAAGTATACTCGTATGCAATAAAAAGCAGGGTTTCCTCAGCAGTTAAATTGTGCCAGCTGAGCAAAGATGCGGACAGTTTCTCATATATTTTGGAAAAAAATAAAAATATGTATGCTGCACGCCCTATAACAGTTTTGAACAAGACAGAACTACATTTATTAGAAATATTCTACTCTCAAAATTTCTCATATAATTTACCATCACACCTAATTGTATGATTTATTATCATAGCAATTTATTTTCTTTTAATTTTCGCATATTTCGCAACTTATTTTTTCCCCATATTTCTTGATGCATTATATAGAACTGAGGTGAATATAATTCTTAGCAATTTAACCATATATGTATTTGGAAGTACGAGATTTAATTTTTTAAGTGGTTTATAAACGATGTATTTTTTTACCGAGACAACTGAGATCTAAAGTAGCGTAAAATTTGTTATTCTTAACTATGATGTTATAAAATGTTAATCCTTTTTTTGAAATAAAAAATTTCCAGTAAGCAAATGTTTCTAATGTTTGTGTAACACTAACTTTTTAAGTATTCTCTATTTTTTCTTTTATTGTTAATTTCAATTTTGCACCTGCTTTTTCTGATAAAATTCCGCATTTACCTGATTTGCATTTGCATTTCCATCTACTCCTATTTCTTAATTTTGCGTACGTTTCATAGGAAAAGTCTTTATAGTACTTGATAAATTTCAATAATAAATGAGGTATGTTGAGAGAACAAAAAAAAATCAACACCCTGCACAAAGTTTTCAAATATCAGGAAACTAAGTAGCTCGGGCAAGAATATAGAAATTTTATATTATAGAAAGGAAGGAATGCGAAAATATAAATATAAACAAAGCGCGGTTTAACCTGTTTTTTCAATTAACCGTCCAACTCACCATAAAAGTTAAAACATAATTCAATTGAAATGTTTCTTTCCAAAAACCGAAAAAAATTATGTAATTTTCTCCAAAGCTTCTTCACATCGCTAAAATGCATTTCAATGCAGGAGCTTAAACACTTTTGCATTTGTATGTGCTCCACTCTTCTAGCCAAGACGCTGAATTTATAATATGTGATTATATGAAATGCGTGTTTTTACGTATTTTTATATAGGAGCTTCTTGTATTTGTTGTTTGCTACCTTTATCTGTTTAATTAGTATTTTTATTACTATTTACAGAAAATTGCAATGTGTTAATCGCACTCTTTATCCAATAGCTCCGACAGATTGAAACGAATTTTACATCACATAATAACACTTTTTGGCAACCACATTTGGCATCAAATTTAACCGAAAAGAACAAATATACATTTATTCTATTTAAGGTTTTGGGATTCCAATTTGTGAATAATTCCGAAACATTTTTCGCAAGGTTAATGCGTAAGAAACCATTTTGTATATGCAAACTTAATTTATTAGAAACTTCATTTCATTACATTAACTAACTCACTAATGAGTTAATATTAACTTACAAGTGACGGTGTAGCCACTTGTAAAAAGAACCATGTGCTGGCGCAGGAGTCGCTGGTGGTTCTGGAGGAGTTCCTGGTGGGCCAGGAGGAGTCTCTGGTGGTTCAGGATCGTCACCGAGTGGCTCGGGGGTCGCTGGTGGTTCTGGAGGAGTTCCTGGTGGGCCAGGAGGAGTCGCTGGTGGTTCAGGGTCGTCACCTAGTGGCTCAGGAGTCGCTGGTGGTTCTGGAGGAGTTCCTGGTGGGCCTGGAGGTGTCGCTGGTGGTTCAGGATCGTCTCCGAGTGGCTCAGGAGTCGCTGGTGGTTCTGGAGGAGTTCCTGGTGGGCCTGGAGGAGTCGCTGGTGGTTCAGGATCGTCACCGAGTGGTTCAGGGGTCGCTGGTGGTTCTGGGGGAGTTCCTGGTGGGCCTGGAGGAGTCGCTGGTGGTTCAGGATCGTCTCCGAGTGGTTCAGGGGTCGCTGGTGGTTCTGGAGGAGTTCCTGGTGGGCCAGGAGGAGTCGCTGGTGGTTCAGGATCGTCACCGAGTGGTTCAGGTGTCGCTGGTGGCTCTGGAGGAGTTCCTGGTGGGCCAGGAGGAGTCGCTGGTGGTTCAGGATCATCACCGAGTGGTTCAGGTGTCGCTGGTGGTTCTGGAGGAGTTCCTGGTGGGCCAGGAGGAGTAGCTGGTGGCTCAGGGTCGTCACGTAAGATGTCTACTGAGTAGACAGCTTTGCGTTCATTTTGGCTGCTAATGGCTTTGCCATGCACGGAGGCCTGTTAATAAATTAATAATTATATCAACACTAAAAACTATGATTCCGTATAAAAAATAATAATGACTCTAAGAGAAACGGTGCATTTGACTTTAAAATTGTACATGATATGTATGTTGGAAACAAAGAGCTTGTTCAAGTGATTGATGTTCGATGATTATTGTTTAAAATACTTACAATGGCAGCTGCCGCCAGAAGCAGGAGCAAGCTGTATTTCATCTTGCAAGTCGCCAAGCCAAGCAATTGATGCTGATGATCGTTTCTGCAAAACCTTATATACTAATTCAATATAATCTTATCAAATTCCAGGCCTATTCTGTAATTAACACAAGGGCGATACTTGAGATTCTTTTCTAACCGATTTCAAGTGTTTATGGACACTTTACCGACAACACCACAGCTGAAGTTATTTCTGATCATTTTCCATTAACACGCAATGAAGCCCTAAATGGATCAGAACTCAAGTAAAACTCGATGCTGCTATGCAGGTATGTGGCTACACTTAGCACGAGATTTTTGTTTGGTTCCTATCTGCGGCAGTTTCAAAAAAACTACTTTTGTGTTCAATGTAGTTCAAACTTACGCAACTTTTACGAAGTTTATTTTATATTTGTTTTAATGGATTTTACACAATAATGGAGCATAACGTAAACCAGTCTAGTTCATTTAGAGACGGCATTGATGTTCTTTGTTCAGTTTATTATTGCGCTTTGTAGTTAAAATGTGTATATATGATTTTTTTGTACTTTCGTTCATAAACAGATTTTTCGCTGTTTTTTGTCTGCTCCACGTGACTGTACTAAGCGTTTTTTGTTGATTTCAATATGAATCAAATGACGTCAATTAAACTAAAACCCTGTTAACATTTAACATGCGATTTCTTCTAGGGGATCAATATGAGAATTATTTTTTTTTTAGTTTAAGATAAAGTTAACTGTGGCCAGGTAAAAGCTTTATTGCAAACAGCTATTGTGGTCTTGTTATGGCAAATAAATAAACTTTATTGTTCCAATTTTTGAAAAATTTGATTAACTCCTTTTTAAGTATTTCGACTTTTTTAAACGTGAAGTAGTAATATTTAGCGAAACCTTAGGAGTACTTGTATTTCGCTTAACCCTAATTGATTACAGTATTTCAGATAGCATTATTAACAGATAATAGAATATCCGGAATTAATTGTAAATCAAAATTTGTATCTAAATATTGACGAATCATTTTTTAAATCGCCGAACATTTACAATGAATATAATCATCTCCTTGTCGACAACAGAAAATTTTAGGTTCCTGATGTATATTGTAATTGTTTATACTCATTTGATTACAATTTTGAATATTTCATTCATTGACTTAATTTTTCATTTGCTTTTCATGTCAATGTTAAATCCAAATTTTCTTCATCGGTTTAAATTAAAAAATAGTGTGAAAATAATAGTTTCCGTAAAATGTGAGATTCTGATTTTCAGTGACGAGTATCAATTATTCAATAGACCTTTGCACACGTTATGGAATATGTTTGAGTGCCTACAGATTTCAATTTATGATAGCGCCTGAATTGTTTAGACGTGCACAAAACAATTGATCGATAAATAAATAATAACCACATACTTTATTTTTAAATAAATATCGTCACTGATACTAAGTCATCATTGAAAATAAGCTGCTATTACTTGAAACATAATCTTCAGCACGTGTTCTTTTGATCCCTAGCAATGCTCTATATTTCGTTCTTCGGTTTCTCCATTCCCGCTTAAAGATGTATCTAGTAGTAAATCGAATCAGGCAGAGTTGTTTGTTTATATGGAATTGTTTCAGAAACAAACCATGCGTTTGGTGTTTAAAGTTGCAACTCTTCCACAAGCAGTTCATTCAAAGATTTTTTTTAACTTTAAACCTTTTTTAATTTTGTCAAGTTTTTCAATCTACAAAATTGTTAGATGCATTTAACTAGTCAGCGATACTATAAATAAGTGATTATTTTCCATTTGGTGTCATTTCCAATTCTTTTTTCTCATATAATATATCTTCTAGATAAGTAGATGTTTCCAGATATGTAGTGTTGACTACTACCCATAATTCAAGATCAATTGCATATTTGATTGCAATCAATGCTATTTTTATGACTGAAGGGTTTATTTAAAGTAGGTATAGGTGCATTAATAACTACAGAAATCAGAACTAAAAAAATATATACAAAGTATTGTTCTTATCAGCGCTAAGTATGCAACAACTCGCATAATATTAGTGTATAATTGTTCATTTTTTTATTCAAACTACGTAGCGAAAATGACACAACAACGGAGCGTAATATGCTCTCAAATAATGTTATTAATATTCAAGGTATTTTTACGTTATTGAAGTGCTTTTGACATACTTAGATGTTTTTTGCTGTAATCAATCTTTCCAATTATTCTGTATACGTATTGGGGCTGTTCAGACTCAAGCACTTGCTATTATACGTATAATGTGATTTCTAAGTATAGACCACACGCAGAAGTCCGTTATTTCAATGATAATTTTGTTTGGTACGACTTCACCCTCTTCATTGCAACGTCGATTATTTCCATACAACGGTCTTTTGTTTATTAAATTAAGAAATGGAGATATTTTTATCTTTTTTTAAGCGAATTTTTCTAAACAGAGAGCTGATTTTTGAAAATGCGAAAAGATATTTGCTTTAAAAAATTGTCACCCTGTCGATCCCAACAAGGATTTGGCTGTTTATTTGCATTTGTTTGTCGCTGTTTATTTGCATTTTTAGTCAAAAGTCAGCTGCAAGCTCTTTATGGTTTACATGCTACATTAGGAATATTCCGTATAAAGTTTAACACAACTACTAAACATGGGGAAATTAAGTGGTTACCGCTCAAGAATAGGATCATCCACGAATGTATTTTATTTACATAAGCAAATTTGAAATGACCACATACAACACAATTGCACTTAAATCATATTTTCGCATAAACAAATTTATCTAATCAGCTCTCATCTGCAAAGTACAAGTAGATGAAATGTAAATCTTGTATTTGTTATTATTTAAGTAGCTGGTGAGTTTGAAAAAGTGATGTAATCTACATTTGCAAAATCGATAAACAACATGCCTCATCAAGACTTTCAACTAAAGATAACTAGGAAAATTGGCCCAGCTTCCTTAACGTAATATTTTGCATAACGTATTTTAGCTTAAAATTGCTGGCAAAAATGTAGTGTATTATGTGTTTATCATTGAGAACTCTAAAATTACAATTATACCTTCTTTAAACGTCTCATCAGATTTCACCACCTGCGTGGTCACCTAATGGCAAACCACTTAAGATAATAACAAGCAAATATAAATTTAGAAATATATTTTTAAAAATCAAGTGGATGACATCGCTTCTTAAAGATATTATTAAGCTGGATACCCACATTTGTAGGTACTCCGAATAGCTTCAAGTATTCAAGTTCAAGTATTCCTGGCTATTGGTTTTTTTTATATAACTATAGGCTATTTTAATCTTGCTGAATTAGCAACAGAAAACGTATTCATAAAAATAACATTCCACTTGTCCACGTAGAGAGTTGGAAAATAATTGGTAACAAAGAAATAAAATGTAATAAAGTAATTTATTAACAAATAGGAACAACTGATATATATGCAGAAATAAGAATTCCTTAGCTATAGGTGAAAAGTCAATTAGCGGTGAGACCATTAAATTATGGGAACTGGAAGTCAAATTATACTGGCAAGACGTTTAAGACACTGGCCGAATTCTACAACGCATCAAAGTACAAAACTAACAGCCAATTTAGGTAGCGATATTGATTCAAAACCAGTTAAAATATCCCTTTTTAGCTGGACTCTGAACTGGCGATTTTGGAGACCCTGGCAGGGTCGCACCTTCCGAAATATCACTCTGGATTTCAGCACCTTGAGGGCTAGTGCTATCCCTGAGTAGTGAGTTGGTCTGCTGTTGGAGCGAAGATTCATATTTCCGAACGTCGTCTACACTCATATCAATCCATTCATCGATCCAAGCGAAAGCTTGCCGATGTCCTAGCAAGAGGACTTCCCGAATACACTAAAGGATAAATTAAATAAATAAAACGCTAATAAAAAAATAATTGAAATATCTGGAGGTTTTAAAAGTTCAATTCTTGCCTAATTTGTTTTTTCCCTTATTCTTATGCTGCTTTTGTGTTCGGATATTTTTACAATATCTTTTGGTTATTAAGCAACCAGGTCACGTTTGGTGTCCTAATAAATGCCAATAACTTACCGAATGGATAAAATCCTCCACTTTAGTTTGCAGCCCGAATACTTCGAAGTAAGCATACACCAACTTGTAGCTGCACATAACGGGCTGGAAATTATTTCGCCAGCCCTCAACTAGCGGTCCACGTCCAGTTTTTGCCGATCGGAAAAACTTCAGATCTTCTTCCTCCTTGTAATGCTTTGCTGCTACCTCATCGTATGCTATATCAATATGTTCAACCAATCGATCAGCTAGTTGATCTGGAGTCAAATTTAAACACTAAAATACATAGCATATTTAATAAATGCGTAACATTGTAGAAGCGGCTGAGAAATATTGCACTTACATTCTCAGTAGTTCCACTGTTGTTTTCGTATTTCGTTTGAATTGAAATGTGAAACCTTGGGATAAACGAACACTAAAAAGCATCAGAAGTTTACCCAAATTTTAAGTTAAATATAAGCTTGCTTAACCAGCATTGAGCAGGCATGTAATACTCACAGTGTAGTCTGTTATTGTAAAAGGGTAGTAATTCCACGCTTTCTCAGTTACATAGAATATCTTTGGTATGATTGCTTGAATCCAATAAGGAAGCCGACTGGAAAACGCAAGCTGGTGAACAATATTTATGAAAGCGATTTTTTAAATGGAGTTTTCAAGTTGTTTAGACCAACTATTAATGTGCTTAATAAAAAATCCTACTTGGATAAATGGATCCGTTTCTCCGTGTACTGGCCCTTGCCATGTTCTGGATCTTCAATTTCCTTATTTTCCACCACTTCAACCCCTTCGCCGTCCCCAGACTGCTCAAGACTGTGTCGGGCAATCATGTAAAGTTGCCCTACACGATACTAAAAAGACCATTCCACAATTTCCCAAAGTGCAATGTAATTTTTCACCACACCAAGTTTCAATGCGATTGCATACATCATCAAACGTAAGGTTGGGATTGATATTAAATCACACAAATTATTTATAATAGTGTTATATCGTGGTAAAGTAGATACTTTTGAAGTACATGTTTATAAGGTCGTCCTAGGGAAAGTTCCAGAACTAATTGAAAAATATTTTGCCAGCACGATCAAGCTTCTAGGGGATGTTGAACATGGATAAGAACGAAGTGCAATGGAAATAAAATATTGTATAACAGTAAGATAAATTAGAATGTGGAACTTTGTAGTACATTGGCCAAGAATAATTAGAATTTTGTGCTTGCTGTGGAAACATTCAATTAATTAGCAGACCATTGAAAGGTGGCAAATTTCCGGAAATTCAGGTTCTTCGTTTCTATATTTAGAGATTAACATTGATTTTTCCTAAAGTATAGCGATTACCTCTTCTGTAGTTAAGGGCATACATATTCGGTATTCTTTAGTCAACACCATATCCGCTAATCAAAGTAAACTAGACAATGCTTGCTTTAGTTAAAAATTTGGCCTAAACAATAGACTTTTTTGGAAAAACTTTCTAAGCTACGAAAACAACATTCATGTTTTCCAAACAGGACATTTAACTTTTAAAAGACAGTTGACACCTTTCAGGCACCGGGAGTGCTTAGAGCTGCATCCATAATTACTAATTTGTTCGATATTTCATGATGAAAAACATTTTTTTCAATGTATTTCACAATTTCCAGTCTTATCCCCCTTTTGCTATAGCCGTAAATTAAAAAATTAAATAATAATAGGTAATTTTAATTAAATAACAATTTCAGGTTGCCAGATTTTTACCGTAATCTGGCAAGAGCCAGTGGCATAACCTCAAACATTTAAGATGTAAGGCCTATCAGCTATTTTGTGTAAATACAAAATACTCCACATTAAAAAATGACCCGCAATGTTTTAAAAAGTAGTGTCCAAAATGCATCGTTTAGCATATTTTTTCAGGTAAGTATTCGCTCGTGTGACTCTCATTGCCATTGCAGTTTCCTGGTTTTCAGATACTTTTCAGATGCATAACTTTTGTTTTAAACGCATTTATCATCAGAACCGTAGGTCAGGATGTTCTAGGCATAATGAACGTTAGACTTCTATTACTAGAGTCCACCATATTATTCCTCTCAAAAGAACCACTCTTAAAGGCCTGTCTAACGAATGCAAAGTCGCACAATTGGGCGCAAGTAATCAATTTAATATGGGTTTCGTAAGTACAAATGTGCCTCGCTTATTTAGTTGGGGCTTTCATTCGAATTCTAGGGTGCCAATATCCGCTCTTCTGGGGCTGATTCTCGTGTATGTGTGGATACACCTTTTAAGCCCCACCGATGATATTTACTACTCCCAGTATAAATTGGGGTGCT